AAGTAACTAACTAAATAGTCCTGTTGTCTTTAGCAAGACAGCTTAAGGAGAACATTCCTTTGATGCCAGAAGGGCAAAACCAGGCCCTTCGTTCTTTAAACAACGATTCAAAGTCACGTTGCCCTTATTGTTGGCCTTCAGTACTAAAGATTTTTGTCATGCTTGGCTTCACTTTGACTTCATGGCTAAGGTTTCAGCTAGTGATGCTATCAGACAATAGCAGAACGCAATTCAAAACAGCTACTGGAAAAATCCCTACACTCTTCCAAAGCTACTAGGTTAGGGTAAAAGAAGAGCTGTGACACCACCTACTGTGAAGCAAACACATGCATTGAAGTCTAAAGCACATATCTGATTTGCTCATTATTCTTTGGTGTTTTGTTGTTTCAAATGTAAGTTGGAAATGATTTGGTAACAAGGCTTGAAAACAGATAGAGCTTTGGCATATTTTGAAAATTTGCTACAGTTTTATTTTATTTTATTTTATTTTATTTTATTTTATTTTATTTTATTTTATTTTATTTATGTTTTTCAACCACAGCATTCCTCTGGAATTAGCGACTGCATTGTCCCATGAAGCTCACCAGAAATGACAAGCATATGCTGTTCTAGTCAATACATCATATTTAATAATTTTTATAGGAAACTCAAGTATTCTTTTTAGCATATACTTCTTCTACTATGCTATATTGAGGTAAACTGTGGTATTAGTAACTATGGAGAGAGAAGAGAGTAACTGGTAATAGGAGGGATATATATCACATCTTTGTGAGGTACTAAATTGAACCCTATCAGTCCAGATTAATATATTTTATAGCTGAGATCTGAAGTCTAAAAATCACCTTTGTTTAAATTGTAAAATATTATTTTTGAAGTATTTTCTAATCTGTGTTAATTTTATATCAAAATTCAGATGCAAGACAATATTCCAGTTACTCTGAACATGTGTTTCAAAGGTAAAAGGCTACATACCTCTCCCTAATTGTATCTCAACAAATTCACGATAGAAGTACTGAATTGGACATCTGCTAGTGTCCTCTTTAGCACAGAGGCCACTTTAAAAAGCTGTCTGCTGTGCTTTCAAAAAAACCCATTGCTGTGTTCCAGCACTGAAGACAATAGTGGAGGGCAAAGATGTAACCTCTCTGGTCTAAATGTTATACACTCACATTACATCTCCTGCAGATGAAAAACCTTCTTACAATGAAGAAGAAAATGAATTTTGGAACAGTGTATTTTTTGAATTATTGTTGCAGTCAGAAATGAAGTGGCAGAACTGCCCAATCTTAGTGTTATTCATTAGGCAGATTCATTATGGTTGTATCTATCAGCCAACCCACATCAGATCCTCTTGTGCTAGACATTATAAAACCAAGAGCTGTTCTCAAAGTTGGACTATGTAGAAAATAATTTTGTGCTGCTGAAATGCGTTGCTTGGAGGGGTGCCTTGCTTCATCACTTATGGTGTAATATTAATTTCACTCAAAACCTCAGATTACATGGCCATGCTACACAGAAACAGAACATCAGCCAGCATGTGTTGTTTGTTTGTGACTGGGAAAAGCCAGATTAGATGAGACAAGTGGTCAGAGCTGCAAGGGAAGGGTAGAGTACGTTGACTGAGGGAAACATGAGGAATCAGTCCTTCTAATAGAAAAGACTGGAAGAATGCTAGGAGTACTAAACAAATATTGAAAAAGATATGTTCTTCCTTAAGGAAGCAGAACTTTGTCACTACTGCTCCAAACTCTACCCTTGACTTGGTTTTCTGGTGGAAATAATATGTGAGACAATGAATATTGGCTCCAAAGGTATGTGAGGCACATTTTTGTGCTTGGATCAGAAGAGGTGAGAAGATATAAGTGGTTTTGCCCTTAATGTTGCAGTGTGTTGGTCCTTCATTAAAAAATAAAATTAAATGTATTTTTTCTTCCTTTCAGCCACCTATCCATCACCTCCACTGCAAATCAGATGCCATGTTAGGGTAGGTACCACTTCTTTCCAAATGCCTTGTTTAATCTCCTCCTTCCCTTCTGTTCAGTTTCTCTTACAGTACAATAAACCCTGGGCTTTGTCCATCAGTCTGTGTGTATATATTAGATCCTCAACCTTATTTGTGTCTGTGTTGACCTCTGGGGAGAATATATCAGCACTTTTTCATCTCACTACAGCAGCGAAAGTGAGTAAAACACAGTTGTTTTGTCTTTAAGCAATGGATTTGATGAGGTGGTTATCTTGGTAATTAAAAAACCCCAACTTCCTCCACCCCAAGAACTCTGAATGACTTCTCCATTAATCATTACAAGAGCACCATTGACTTACCGTGTTTGTAAGAGACATGCCCCTAACAAAGTAGACACAATTTTTTTTCTAACTCAAAGAACATTTTATTTGGTGGTCTAATAGCTTTCACTTACAGATATCACATTAATAAACCGTGAGTGGAAAAAGGTAATAAATATGTGCCTGCACATCTTAAATACATGACTGAATTTTATATGTTTACCAATCTACCTTAAGTGTAAACCAGTAATGTTCAGGGCTGTTGGCCCAGCAAGACTGGACTAACCTAGCCTTCTGATTGATCCATCTGGGTGTTAAAGCCTGGTGAGAGTTCACCTCTGATGGGTGACATCCCCGATGTCAGCCAAGCAGCAGTGCCCCTTAGTCCATGGCAGTAGTGAGATATGACACTTACATAACCCTCTTCCCCTGTAAAAGTGGCTTAGGAAAAGTTTTTCTTACATTTCAAACTATTTATGAGGAACATGGCCAATTACCCTAGGTCAGTCAGAGGTAGATCATAAAGGCAATGCAAATCACTACGTATCTGCTGTGAGCAGTGTCTTACTTCACCCACATTTTGTGGAGCTGGGCTTTTGTAGGAAGGATTTGTGCACTGTGGATATGAGTGATTCCAAAATTTTTGCCCTGCTTTGCTGCTGAGATTTGCTTTAATCCTTAGGTAATTATTCCAGTAAAAATACCACGTCATTGGTCCTTCAGCATCCCTTACACCTTGTCCAACTTGCATTGTGGGTTGTTGGGGACAGGTTTACCCTTGATAAGACATTTGTAACAGAATGGCATGGCAAGGCTCTGTCCCTGTCTGTGATGGAAATGCAAGCCTTGTAAACAGTAATAACGCCTGAACCTCTGGGCTAAAATCTGCAGACACCAGAAAAGTACCAAATCAGATCATTAGGTTAGATCTTAATTGAGAAACAGAAATGCAGCAAAAAAAAAAAAAAAAAAAAAAAAAAAAAAAAAAATCTAAGCCCAGGCTCTGTTTTGAGATGCACAGGAGGGGTGCTTGTACACTCATATTCATCTCTCAAGACTAAAGGCAGAGAAAGAAGGCCCTTCATGCACTGTACAGGAGAAAAATCCAAGTTAGCCAAATCTATTTTTGTTAATCATAATATTGATGAGTCTTTGATGGCCACAAGACACGATGTATGGCATACAAGCAGGAATTAGCCTCTATTACTGTTGGATCTATGGCTTGGGACTCCTACCATGGCCATCAAAGGGCAAGAGGTATTCTTCCCAGGAGGAAGTCCACATGGGGTACTCACTAGTGAGCTTTTACTTCCAGCATTCATAGTCAGCACCAACAACTGCAGACTCCTTGTCTGCTGCCATTAGTCACTAAGGATTGAGAGCAAATATGTAAGGAGAATTCAATTAAATAGGTGCAAGTGGAAAGTGGGAAAATGCAACAGGACTTTACCAAAGGTATATTTTGTGAAGCAAACCCAGAACTCCCTGTGAGCAGAGGAAGATTCCTAATAAGGAGAAGGCAGAAGATTCAGCATGACTAGACCTCAGTCAGCATTTGGTACAGGATTTCACAGGAAGCTGTTACAGGGGTTGGTGAGACACTGCAGCATGGGTAAGAAGTTGGTTCAAAAGAGATGCCACAGAGGAAATGCATCATACCTATCTGAAGTGTAACAGGTCCATCCATGCCCTAAATTATGGACCGTACCAGTGACATTTCTTGATGGTGTGCCTGGGAGGAACAGCCAGGAGAAATATCAGGATAGCCTGGAAAAGGGTTTGCCTGAACTTGAGGACTGGAATAATGACAAAGTTCAAGCACCAGACAACAAAAATATGTATTTTTAGAATAAACAATAAGCATATCCAGTTTTGAGGTGCATGGTTATGACTTATAGGGTAGGACCGAGTGGTGCATACTTGTGGGTCACCAAATGAGCCTAACATAGTGAGAAGACTGGAGGAAGTGGCCTTAAGGTGGGAATGGGGAGATTCAGATTAGATAACAGAGAAAGATTTTTCACTATCAGGGTGGCCAGGCACTGAATGGCTGCCCAGAGAGCCAGTGGAGTCACATCCCCCGAGAAGGTCTGGCTGTGCTGCTGGGTGATGCGGTTCAGGTTTACAGCGGCAGGACCAGGCGGACGGTCGGACTGCTGATCTCAAGTCGCGGTAATTCCACGATAGCCTTGGTGAGACAGTGAGACCCAAGGTGGCGGTTTTCACCTGTGAGTTATCCTTACTATTTCTTCTGCTCACTTCTTGGGTATATAAAGGACTTAGTGCTCCCCACAGTCCAAAACTGGCATAAGAACGACTCAAGGGGGGCTTTTGGTCTCCACCGACTCCTCTCTCCGGACCCCCAGCTGGGAACGTCACTCAGCTTCTTCGCAAGTCCTTTTTCCCTTCCACCCGTGCCGGCTCTCGGAGCAGGCCTGCGGGCGGGCAGGCGAGGCAGGACCGGCGGGCCGGGGCGAGCGGGGCCGTGTCCCGGGGCCCTCACGGCCGCCCCGCGCCGCGCGGGGGAGGCGGGCCCGCCCGCCGCGCCGCCCCATTGGCTCTGCGCGGGACACTCCGCGCTCCCCGGCGCCCCATTGGCCGAGACGGCCCCTGCCCCGAGCCGATTGGCGGAGCGGGCCGGGATCCCCTCCGGTGGGGGGGGCGGCGCTCGGGCGGGGGCGGCCGCTCGGTCACCTGCGGCCGGGGCGGCTCCGCTCCGCTCCGCCGGCCCCGCCGGGGCAGCCGCGGCGTCACCGGGAACGGCCGGGAAAAGCCGGAGAAACAAAGAACATGGCGAGGGGAGGAGGAGCTTCCGCCACCTCAACCGCTGGGAAGGGCGCTCCGGGGGCGTACAATGCCCGCCGCGGGGCGGGTTCGCTTCCCTCCGCCCTCTTTCCCCGCCCTTGTGGCCGGGCTGGCGGGGGGCTGGGGCGGAACGGGACGGGACGGGCTGAACTGAACTGAGCTGGACTGGACTGGAGGTGGCCGTCGGGAGTGGGTCCCCTGTCTGCCACAAGTTTCGCCCAGAGTGGGAAAGTTGGGCGGGATCCGGCCAGGTAAGGAGCGGGCGGGGGTCCTGGGACACCTGCGGGCCGGGCCGCGCTCCCGCTCCCCCGCTCTCCGGGGCCGCAGGTGCGGCCGTGCCCGCCGGGCCCCGCGGAGCCGGTGGCGGTCAGGCAGCCCCCGCGTCTGGAAACTTTTTAGGAACTTGGAAGGTTGTCCGCCCTGGTTGTCTCCGTGTCTGGGGAGAGCCGTCGCCGTGCGCCAGCAAGCGACACCTGGCCCAAAACCTGACGGGACTGTCAGGGCCAGAGCGGGAACCTCCGAAAAAACTCTTCCTAAAATTGCATGCAGTTACAGTCTTACCTGTGGAGCGGTACCGGGACCGCTGCCCTTGTGAAAAGAAAGCTCTGCAACCCATTTTCTTCTGGCATTTGCACAGAGTACGGCTCTCTGCTGGTTTTTCTCAACTCTCAAATTATTCTTTAGCTCTGGTCTTGAATAAATATTGCTCATGTCAGAATGATTACGGTACTGTTGAGAGGCCTTGGTCGGGATTTTGATCTTTTTAGTTTGTACTGAGATGGAGACTTTGTTGTTTTTCCTTTTTTTTTTTTTTTTAACTTTTAAACTAACTAATGATTTGAGCATCCGGTTTGAGGGGTAGCTTAAATGAATCATACTAAGCGTTTAGCTTTTCGGCGTTTGTTTTAAGATGTCTTGAGCTAGTTAGCTGAAATTTGAATTTTCAGAAATGTTTAGACATTAAGAGATAAATCACTGGGCTGCCTAAAGTCATGATTAATACGTTCATAATTAATTCAGTTACGGTCTCGGGCCCCCCATCCTCCCCCAGATTCACATGGAGGCAGCTCAATTGCATATCAAAAGCCTCTTCTCATTTTCATTTAGTAAGTTGTTAGACTTTCAAACTGTTCTTGCTCCCTTTCATCTCACTTTGCTCACACCCTCAACAATTGAAATGAAATTTTGGGGCAAGTGTGTCTGTGTACTTGCTTATACAAAAGTAATAAAGACAGCGATAGTAAAGCCAGAAGTGTAAATAGCCGTTATTTTCTCTCAAAGGTTAATTAGTTATCATCTTTATATCTGTACGTGTAAGTATAAGCTGAATAAAATTTTAAGGTGAAAGTGCATAGCCATTCTGGAAGGTACTGTTACACATTGTCCCAGCTTAAGAAGAATATCTCTTTAAAATGTGTTGACATTTAATTGACCTTTGAAAGTTCATTCTGTTAATCATACTCAAAGCACTAAAGCTATGGTTGACTGATCTGGTGCTCGTACATTCAGCCGTGCTCAGCATATAAATTCTGCAGCATAATTGCTACTTATTGAGCAAGAGTTTCTTTTCTTCTCTGAAAATGAGAAAGTTTTGCTTCGCCTCCGGCTGGGTGCTACGGGTAGAGTTATGAATCCAAATGTTTTCCTGCCATCAGTTGTTGTGGTGGGTGTGGCCTCCAGCAAGGCTAGAAATTCCTTTGCTGAAACTCTGGTTTTTCCTTCCTGAGGCCGCACATAGGGCAAGGTAACCTTGAAGGTTACTTCTGTATTTACTTTGAGTCAAAACACAGTAGGTCACTTTGCTTTTTGTGTTTTAAGCTCTTCTATATGCCAGCTGTTTGAATGGAGAAGGCTGAGTTTAGAAAGGTTGATTGCAGAAGTAACTTCCCTTTCCCCCTCAAAAACTTGGCTCTTAAAGTCAAACTTAATATACCCATGTTAATATGCGTGCTACCTTTTTATGGCTGTTATCCATAGCTTTGTTGTAACTCAAACTCATACAGATACAGGGAATGGAAGCATTACTTATCAGCTTACTGTCAAAAGATCTGGGTAAATATTAATTTTTACTGGGTTCACTTTCTGGATAGATTTCCCAATGAGGCTAATATAGTTGGTAATAGTTTTTGTATGTTGAGACCTCTTGTGTTGTATCATGAATTTGTAAGTCTGTTGCCTCATGAGAAATAAGGGAAATACTAAATGTTAAATGCAGTATCAATGATTCCTAATACATCATTAGCTCTTTGCTGTTACCATTGAAAACTAATTAATAGCTCTTAGTCATAAATCTACTTACAAAGTTAGAGACCTGGCATTGCTGTTGTAGTTCTCTAAGCTATTTTGTCAATGCTGCTTTTGTACTAGAATCCCCTTCCCCGAACTATGAAGACAGATGTGATGTTCAAAGTGCATTTGCAGTCACATAACTGCCCTGACATTGTGTTGTTAGGAGCTGTTAAAGCCCACCGAGGGAGGGGTTGTCATCTGAACAAGTATTTTTGTCAGAATTGTGTCCACCAGTGCACAAGTGCTTTGAATACTTAAAAGTGATCCTGTGGTTGAGGTTTGTTTATTTTAGTAGAATAGATACAAGTACCACACGTGATTCATTTCACTGATTCTTTAGAAAGCTGAGTGAAGATAAATGTGCCAAGAACATGTCTGTACTTTCTGTACAGTTGACAAAAGGAGGAGGAAAAATATTCAGGGTAGCTTAAGGGCTGGAGTGTGCAGAAACCTGACCTGCAGCTGCCCTGATGCCCATAGCCCAGCGTTGGCACTCACTTCGTCTGTGGTACTTGCAGAGGTGACCTCTGTCACCTCAAAGGGCAATGATCAGAGCTTCAGGGACCTACAGGACATTTAAAGAGAGATCTGCTCTGCAGCTTAGCTTTTATAGAGGCTTAAGTCTTGGGTCTAGCTAGGTGGAGGTGTCAATCCATTTCTTACTTGCAGTTGGAAACACTGCAGTGGAATGACAGGCCTGAGCAAGGTCCCCTTTTGTCAAGGGGTCATCTTACTGATTTGCGGGAGTGATTTGAATGGGGTGGCTCTCCTGGGTGGCAGAAGCTGCTCCTGTTGAAAGCAATTGTTAAAGTGTGGATGGCACCAGCACATGGGCACAGGCATTCAAGTGGGGGAGTGAAAGCCAAGTTTAGAGTTGTGGCTGAGACAGGCCTAGGGGGGGATTTAAACCTGAACTCTTGTTGTCGTAATGTTTGTATTGTGTAGAAAGGTTTCTGGTGCAGCTGGTGTATTCCCAAACTCCTTATATTATTGTTAGGATAAAAGACGGATCTGGAAGTTGCACATTCTTGCACTTAGCAGTTGAGAAGCAACAGGGTGAGCAGGGGATTTGAGAACCACACGGTGGTTTGGACGTACAGTATTAGTTCAATTAGTGTTGGTACAAGTACCCACTGGCAGGAAGCTGTGTGCTCGGAGGGTAGTAGCAGCCAAGAGCGGATGTTTGAAGTTTTAATATCTATAATTTTATCAGGCACCTAAACCCTTGAGGGTTAAGAGGGAGGGTGTTATGAAGGTAATGGTTGATCTTTCTATCTGCATTCCTAGATTACTCGGAGGAGGATAATGTGAAGTCATTCTCTGAAGATTATGGCATTGCGTGAAGGAATGTAGCACTGGGCCATAAATTAACAGAAACAGAAAAAGTTCATTTCAACTCCAGTTAATTAACTCAGTCTTTTGCATATGTAATCCTTTGTATCAAAAACTTGTACTGTATAAATATATATTTTACAATAGCAGCCCACCACAGCAAATAGATTTTTGTGCAGGAAAGTTTCCCCTTCTCTTTTATATTTGGGTGTGTAGAGAGCAAGTTTTACATTATTATGTAAGACTGCTTCTATGACACTTCATGTTGAATAAAACACATATGTTCTTAATCTGTTGGATCCACAGAGGCCTTTCCTCTGTAACCATTTGAAATTTTAGAACCACGTGTTAGAGTGCATACATAGACAGGTTCAGTTGCATTTTAACATACTCACTGGTCAAGGTGAGCCCGAGCCATCCTAATGTGACATGCCTGACATAATCCCAAGGGGATTAGTTGTTAAGACATTTGAAAAACAAAGTGAGTTCTTGCTTTAGTGTTCTTCCTTAGTGACACATGTTCTAAATTAAAGCTTTTGCAGCAAGTTCATTATAAACTTTCTCTGAGTCTAAGCAACTGAGAGATGTTCTTGGAGCTGTCAAGATATGTATAGCTCTAATTTTTAGCTGACTACTAAATCTATATTTGTCCATGAGGGATTTTCCTCACTATTGACCATCAGAAAAGTGTGGTGTTTTTTTGTTTGTTTGTTTGTTTTTTAATAGGAAAAGGTTTCATATATGTCCTATTTCTTTTCTGTAATCTCTGGGCAGTTATTTCTGCTATCAGGAGTAAAATGCAGCTATATGAACTGTTTGCATCTGTGGAAAGCTGTGTGGGGACAGCATTTAGAGTAACTGTGACTTATACTGAAAACTTTGGGGTGAAGGTGAGGAAGAAGGATACTTCTAAGTTCCCAATGCCTGAAGTTAATCAGCAGGGGTTTCTTCTTACTTTGTGCCCTCTTCCCACCTGTCATTTCTCACAGCTATTTTAGCTGTTCCAGATGGGCTCACTGCCTTCTTCTCTTGCAGAACTTTGTAGTGTGTGCATTCTTTGGCATGTCAGTGTTGATGGCTGTGTAGTAGTTTTTTGAGCACTTCAGAGTTTCCCCAGTGTCTTAGCTAGGGCATTTATGCTGGTAAGCCCTCTCTTCTCGTGCTTCACTGGTCAGTCTAATTCTTTCTCCTTGCTTTGTAGGACGGAATTGTGCCTCTCTTTTAAGTTGGTGGGTGTTTTTTTTTTTTTGTCATGTGCTTATTAGTCTCTTGTAACTTCTGCTTCTGAAAAGCTGGGAGGAAAGGCCTTTTCACGGTGATGAGGATACAGGTTAACATTAACAAGATTCAGGTTCATGGCCCTGTCAGTATGATGTCAGCATTTTATCTGATAGCTCAGAATGTTTAAGTTCAAACTGTAGGAACAAGCAGGTATTTAACTACTGTTGTTCAACCCCATTCTGTTCCCTCATTTCCTAAGCCTGGTCGCACCCAAGAAAAGGGAAGGCTATTGGAAATAAATGAAGAATGGGACTTGAGTAGGTGTATTGCCCCAGTTGGTATGTGTGCAAAGTTTAGTGCATTTGCTGCACATGAACTCTAGTTTTATTCTTTAAATGTTGCTGTTATGTTTCTCATGGTGTTCTTAATACAGTTGCTTTCTGCACACTTTTAGTAGATGTTTTGCTTCATGTAGTACCTAGTAGCTCTCTTTCATCTAGAACTAATTTCTGGAAATGTTCAAGTACCTTTGGGATGAGAGTAATCAATGCATTGCACAACCTCTCTCTTTGATTCATGTGGCACATCCAGAATGGTTCAGGTATCAGGAGTGCAAATTGATAAATAAGTACAGGTATCAGGAGTGCAAATTTATAAATAATATGCTTTCAGTATATACATTTCAGTTAATAAGTGCTATGTCCTGCACTTCTTTAGCTTTTGTTGTTTGCTCATAACTTAGGTTTCAGAACTGTCATGTGTGTATTCTCCCTCTGCTTTAGGTTAGTTTACTTTGGTTCTTTTTTTGTTTTTTCTATGCTTTTCTCCGTCTCTGTTTCTTTGGGTTTTGCTTAATATTGTAGTTCTGTCTTGTGTATCTGTTTGCTTATCCATCTTCACGGAAGTTCTCTATGTCCTTTTTCCTCTAGAATGGTTGCATGAATAAATTCTTCTCCGTCTTAAAGGCTCTGGGGATTTTGCTTTTCTGAAATCATGTTAAATCTGAGATTGAGTGTGTGGTTGGTTTTGGTTGTGTAATCTGTACATTTCTTAATATAATAAATGAGAAGTCATTATGCCATTTCTGGTGGGAAATTTAAATTCTTCAGGGTTGTTTCTGAATACTTATGCTGCCTTAGCAGCTAACCTTTATCTGCATGAATTGAGAGACAGCTGGATTCAGCAGTAAGGTGTCACTTTAAACACATTCTAAGTTTCAAATGACGATACCAGAAAAGGACACAGTTGTAATAATGGTTGTTAGGAGCTATCTGACTTCTTGCAGACAGTCCTAATAATGAGAACTATGCGATCTGAACTGCTGAACTTCTGGAATTACATTAACTTCTGTTCATGTATGTGGTACAGATTCCTGGAAATCTGAGGAAATTCTTGGTGGATGAAGAATGTAATTCTCCCTGGAGGTGTGGATATCTCTTATGAAGGGGACAGAAGTAGGATCAGCTGATATCCATGAAGTAAGTTCTTGGGCTTTTTTTTGGTCAGGTATAATGCTAGTGGGGTACACTGTAGTATTCATTCACTTGAGTGAATTAGAAGCTGATTAAAGTCTTTAATGATTAGACATTGAGGAGAGAATTTTGGGAAGAGGCTCAAGAAAACTAGGTGCTACATGTTGTTCATGATTTTACCAAGAGTTTTGACATCTTGTTCCCAAATGTTTGGATGTTTTGTGTCTCATTTGGTGCGTAATTTCAACTGCTTGTCTGCAACTGCCTTCTTAGTGTAGGGGGAGCCTGCTGCTTCAGGCATTTTAGAGCTCAAATGCAGTTGGGAGAATTGGATTCATCTGCAACAGTTGGAGATACTCATGCTGTATCATAACAGCTGTGAACTTGAGTTCATATAAGTAATGTGTGGTTAATCTTTCTGTGCTGTCAGTGACAGGAAGAGGAGGAACTATATTTTCTCATATTTAATGATGATCTTAAAGTTTTTGACAAGCAAATTTGAAAATGTAAACTATAAATCAACTTAGGAAATAATTGCCATGAGTTAAGTTTTTGCAAATTCTATGTAGCTTTTAATTTGCATTTTCACTTGTTGATATTCTGGTGTTAATCTGATATGATTAAAAACTAATTTACCTGTTTGAGTTCCCCTATCACCTTGTCTGTATGGAAGGTAACAGAAAATATAGAGGCCCTGTTTTTGAATCTAGGAGCACTTGACAAGTTTTGATTTAGTTGCTTTGTTTGTTTGTTTTTGTAGTTCTTTTCTTTGAACCAATAATCCATTAATCTGACTTAGAAATTTCTAGAGAATGAGAGAAAAGCAGTGGAAAGCTTTTTTATTCACAGAAACAGGCCTTAAGTGGTACCAGTTTGCTCCTTTCTCCTTCTGGGATATGAGCTATAAATTCATGAAGACATTGAAATGTTTGAATGTTGTTCCTTTTGTCTTACCTGTATTCTACCTGTTCAGGTATGTTTCACCTTATCAAAATCAGCATGTATCACGTCCTGTTGATTACTATTTGAGTCTTGGGCACTTTCTAGCTAAACATCTCTGTAAGAATACTTTACAAATTAAACATCAGAGTGGTAAAGACAACTCCTTGCCTTCTCCTGCATAACAGTCCATACTGTGTGACAAAGTGCCTCACAGTTTTAGTTTAAAATCTTTTGACTTTCATACAGATATAATCTATTGGTGTTTTTAAATGGAAAGGTAGCCATATATGGAATGGAATTGGATATGATTGCTGATATAATGTCCTTCATCTAATTAATTCCATTTGATAGCTTTCCTACATGTTCCCCCTTTAAGGTGTGGATATTAGGCCAGCATATTTACAAATTAAATGGTAATTTTAGTGTCATGAGTAGGTTTAATTAGGATGAAATGCTTCCATTCTGCATCAATATTGTGCATTTGAGGGTTTTTTTGGGCTTGGTTTCGTTTTGGGGTTTTTTTGTTTTGTTTTTTGTTAATAGTAACAAATAGTATGCATATTGTTTTACAAGGTGATTTAAGTGTATTTCTTAGCTGGCTCGTGATAAATGAGACTTGCCAAGAGAAGAACTCTTTTCCTTTTTTCCCAAAGTATTGTTTTAGTAAATATATTTTCTTATGTCCTGTTCTTCAGTAGATCTCACACAGGAAAGGCCATTGCCTCCTCATATTGCCAACTTTGTGTAAAGTTTGGGACCTTACTGGGAGTTTCATAGCTTGTTATGATTACTCTCCTAAGAAGAGGGTGAGTGGATCCTGTGGCTCTGTCGTGGTATATAGATGCCAAGCGCTAGGAATTCCTGGAATGTAGAGTTGTGCAGCACTGATAAAGTTTGCTTTGTTTCCTTAGTGACTTGGCCCATTGAGAAAATGTGATTCCCTAGGAAGCTTTAATAGCTCAAAGTTTATATTGGATAAAGAGAAAGGCCCTAGCATAATTCTACTTGTTTTCACCTGCTGCCTGAAAGATTAATTTTCTTAACCTTAGTATAGAAAATATAATCCTGAATTTTGAAAGTGATTTATAGAGATCCTTCACACTTATCAGTTTGAGTAAATACACCACAGGCTTCTGCGTTCCAGCTACAGTCTTTTCATAACCTACTTGGTTTAGTGTGGTAATTTCATTTGGAGGTAAAAAAGTTTCAAGGAAAAACACCTTCTAATTAGAGTGATATAATCACTCTGCTTGCCTGCTGTAGTTTCATATGACTTCAGAAAAATAGTTGAGTGATTAATCTTTAATTTTCCTCATCATTAACTTAATAAGGAAATGGGAGATAGAACAAAAAACAAACAGCAGAACTGTACAACTGAGATGTTGTAATGCCAAATTTTTTTAGCTTTTTCATTTGGTGAAAAATGCCATTCTGCCAATTCCTTGTGAAGTGTAGTAGCAACTGGTTAGCTCAGATAATTTGTAGAAATCTTTAACTTTATTGAAGTCTTTGCAGAGCTTGCTATACAACTTCTTCCTTTTCCCCCACAGGCCCCTGTGGGCTGGGTGGTGCGGTTTTTCCCATGGTTTTTTTTAGAAGCAAATATTGTATAAGCTAATGTCTAGTATCATATAATTTCCTTGCACCCACTTTTCTGAGGCGAAGGAAGACATCCCAGATACTTAAGTGAAATACCCTTAGGAAGGGTTTGGTTCTATTTTGGTGCCGGTTGCTATTTTTAGTTGCTGTGCTGATAAGTGAATAGAATAGTGTGGTTTTTATATGAATAGGACAGGATCGGTCAAGTCTCTTGGAGAACAAAAACAAATACAACAGTGGAAGCAAGTTGCTCTTTTTGTACATCTTTATTTAATTCTTACTGGGTGTAAAACAGGCAATATAATACTAGAAGTGTAATTCTTGAATAAAAAATATGCCTGGCTGTTTCTAAATGTTCCTCTGGAAGTTACACTTTATTTCATTAGTAAATACTATTAAAACAGTCCGGTGTACATCTGCGGGCAGCAACACAGCAACAGAAGTTGTAGTAGATCTTAACTAACCTGCTTGGAGGCTTCTGCATGTTAATAATATAAAATAAACAGCCAAGGAATGTGTATTGCTGTTGACAGTGAGCGACTGTAAACATCCTCGACTGGAAGCTGTGAAGCAGCAGATGGGGCTTTCAGTCGGATGTTTGCAGCTGCCAACTGCCACAGACGTCAAGAAATGTTTGACACCTAAAACATAGCTGTCTGTTTAAAACTTTTATTTCATTTATCACAGGCATGTGAATTAGGACAAGCTTCTCTAGGTACTGCTTAATCTTTCTAGGGATGTCTGTGTCTGAATATCTATAAATAATCAAATCTCTGTTAGGAAGAATCAAAAATTGAATCAGGTTTTATTTTTAACTGCAAACTTGGTTCTAAGTTTTCAGAGTTGCTCATTGTACAGATTGCTTGGCTTTGATTTTAGACTCCGCTACAAAGTTTTCACAAGATTATTTCACATCTTTATCATGTCTCCAATGGTTCATTCAGAATTTGAAATGCTAAGCCTTGTAGGAAATAATCACTTAAAGGACTTCTGGAAACTAGAAATTCACCAGTAAGCAAAACTGGGGGTGGGGAAGTATTAAAAATTTATTTTTCCTGGAAGAGGCCCAGCCCTGAAAAATGATGGTGAGGTCAGGGTGACTTCATGTGTCCAGGTTTACCTCTGATGTATCATAGTATCTCAGCTGTTTGAGGTTCACTGATCTCCCTTGCAAGCAAAAAAAAAAAAAAAAAAAAAAAAAAAAAAAAAAAAAAAGGAAATGCTAGAAGTTGATTCATACTTTTCTAGAAGTCAATTGAGGCAATTTCCTATTCTACCAATTAGTTATATGTGTGGGTGTACCCTGTTGCTAAAATAATGACCATAAGATGACCATAAGAGATAGAGAACAATTTATGTGATTGGGACACTACTTAAGGTTACTGCTGTCATACCAGGAAAAGAGCAGTGAGGTTGTAGCACATAACTGATTAAAGTGGGTAATAAAAGCACTAGTGAATTCCTTCTTGAGAGAACATATAGATGATCTGCATCTGCTTGGTACATATGCTTAAATATCTGTGCTTTTGGTAAAGTGAGTTGTGTTGTTAATTGTTTTTTTCTTGCTGTCGGTATCCTTTTTTCTCAAATATGTTTGTGTGCATGTTTGTATAAGAGTATAGTAAAGTATAAACATTACTCTGTCCCTTTACATTTCACATAAAATACAGGTGCCCTAAGACTTTCCAGTCTTTGTGACTTTTTTTTGTAAAGGATTTATTGTCCTGGTCAGAGTTCTTACAAAGCATTATTGTCATGTAGATAGGTAAAACAGTGTCTGCAATATCCCCATATTTTATGTTTGAGAAACTTCACTGATTTGTGTTTTGCAAATAGCATTCAGTGAAGATTTGTATACTTGTCAGGTTAAAATTATGTTGTATTTCAGTAATGCTTGAAAGTCCTCTTAGGATTAGCACCATACATCATCTTGCACACTTCTCATTCATAGTAAGGTATGAGGTCTCCCAAAAAGGATTTACAGTCTGATTCAAGACCGGTGGGATTTAGATGATGTGAGCAAGGGTCACATGGGAAGACTGAGAGGAGGAGGGCAGAGGGATGGGCATTTTTAGTGGCTTTGAGTTGCCTGCTAATTAAAATGTAGGAAGACAGAAGGCATGTATTCTTAGCCAGTTATTTATTTGGGTGTAAATATCTTGAAAGATGATGGTTTAGTTGAATGGTATATGGATTTGAAATTAGGACAGACGCTGATGAAGCTGTGATTTTAGGTTGATGATTTTTTTCTCTGCAAATGCAGGAGGTGAAGTGGGCTGAGATTTCCAAATGCCTTTTCTTGCAGATCTAAGTGACTCTGAAAAGCTTGTAGTGAACTCAGAAAAAGAAAATTCAACAAATACAGCATTTGATTTAAAATAATTGCAAATTTAATTCAGGGCCAAGGTAGTTGCTCAGGGTATGGCTTACATGGGTTGTAGAAGTAGCTGAATTGTTGGTGTTTA